GGCCGGGGGCGGGGTCGAAACCAGAGCTGCGCCGGCCCCGCCTGCGCCTCCTCCTGGCCACTCGGGGCCCGGGGCGCCCCTTCAGGGGCGGGATGGGGCGGGGCCTCGGGCGGGCCATCCCTGTGCTGTGGGGAGAACCCCCCAGAACACGAGTGGGCGCCGAGCGGCCTGCAGGCTGTAGGCTGTGCCTGGGCGTTGGGGAAGGGGGCGATGAAGAGGGAGCGCTGGCAGCTCGGGACAAGACAAGCCGTTGGGGGAGTTTTAACAGGGGGAGTTGGGGGCCGAGGGCGGGTTTTGGCGGCTCTAGAGCTAGAAGGGCGGGGCCAGGGCTGGAATCTGGGACGCCTAGGCTGGGGCCATAGGGGACACCTGGCCTTGTGCCCAGAGTTGAAGCGAAGTCTGGGCGTTTCCCCGAGGGACTTTGCGTGAACAGGGGAAAACGAGCCCACAGGTAACCCTCACGCCTCTTAGCAAAGCAGGATCGCTCAGTGACCTCGGCTACAGACACTCCTTCCTGGTCCAGCTCTTTGGCCACTTTTGGACTAATTGTGACTTGAGAAGTTTAGCGCGCCAATGCTAGTTGTTCAACCTTTTGAGACTTCGGATCCTCAATTTTTGTATGTGGGACGATTAAGTGTGGTCTATAGTCACTGCCAGTATTGCTAATGGATCAGCTTCTTCCTCAGAATCCATGTTCTGTCCTACAGGATGAGAACAAGGTGCTAGGCTGGAGCCACCAGTGAACTCCCCCAAGGAAAACTCCAAGGAAATGGAATCGACTTCTGGAGCAGGATTTTGTCCAAAACTACCTTTAAAGAAGAAATGCATAATTATAACTGGAATATGCCTCAAAGTTGTGGGAACCTTCCTCAGCCACACTGCCGTTTAGCCAGCATGCCTGTCACTTGATGGTCTAGTCACTAGTCCTGTAAACACTGTCAGAAACACGCTCAGGAATCTCCCTCTGGGCAACACAGCTAGCCTCATCCAGGAGCAGGTTGCCTTTCTGTCCAGAAACAAAGGTGAGATGACGCTGAAAGTTTAGCCTCATAATCTATTATGGCTCAGCCTCTCCCTAAGGAAAGCCTTTCTACAGATTAGGGCTGAACTGTCCATGAGAAGAGCTGGTGCTGGAGAAAGGGACACTTCCAGAAGGCTGGGTTACTGAACTCTGAGCAGTCAATGTCCAGGGGCCAGTTCCAGGATGAAGGAAAACAAGACCATTGTCTGCAGATAGCTGGAGAGCTTTCCAGAGAGACAAAGCCAAGCAAAACCTAGGAGAGGTAGTCATCAGGATGCTGAAAACTCATTCCCCACACAAAACCATGTCAGGACCTCTCTTCTGCTCCTTCTGCCATCTAGACCTCTGGAGAGCTCATAAGAGTGCCACCTGGGATGGGCTGGAGAGCAAAAGGAAACTTGCCCGCCAGTTCTAGAACCTTGGACAGGTAATTTCCTCCCCGAGCCTTAGTTTCCCCACCTAAGACCCACCAACTCAAAGGAGCAGTGATTTCCCCCCCCTCCCCCAAGTTATGATGTTTCCTGCTGAAGGTCCCTTCCTTTCCATAGTCCTTTCCATGGTGCAACCCATCCCTGGGAACTTTCTTGTGAGCAAAGAGTTTTTCTCCCTGAATCTCTTGCACCTCTACTGGGCACCCCAAGGGGCTAACACAACAACAAGCACACCCCACACTGCCTAGCCCACCCAGGTAGTGGAGCTGAGGGAAGCTTAGCCCTCCCCACTTTTGGGGTTGTCTCAGCCTACCCCCAAAGCCTCCAGCCTGGAGGCCTGGCTCTTGCACCCGGGAAGTAAGAGGCAAGTGGTGGGGAACCGCAGGAGGCAGGGGAAGGGAGACGCCAAGCGATGACATGTTTAAAGGCAAAGAGATTGCTTCCAAGAAAAATGATGTGTGAGATTGTAAATGTGTCTCTGGAAGGCGCTGCAGGCATTAAAAAGCTCCCTTCACGGGAGAGTGAAGGTTCTCACAGCAGCCACCCAGGGCGTCCCTGAGGAAGGCATCGAGCCAGCAAGAAGCTCTTGTCCCAGCCCAAGAACTGTGGGCTCCAGGTGGCCCCCATGCTGGAGAGAGGAGTCACAGTTCATCAACCTGGCTGAGGAGGAAAGGTAGGCAGGGCAGGCAGGTGCCCAGACCAGTCGAGAGAGCCCCACTGCACTTGACTGTTCAGCACCAGGAGAAACCAACATCCCTCTTTACCCTAGCCCTTATGGTCAAACAGTAGAAACCAAGGCTCAGAGAAAGGCCCAGGATTTGCTGAGGTCTCACAGTGAATCCACTGCAGAACTTTAGCTGAAGTCCAGAGTCCCAGAGCACATGTGGGGAGAGCCCACCATGCACTGTGCACCACTGACAGGGAATAGTTTAGGATGTTTACCCTCACTCCCTGGAGGCCAGACTGCCACCAGCTGCATACACACACACTAAAGCCTGGGAGATGCTCACCCTCACTGAAAAATCAAGTGTTTCCAATCCTCTCGCAATCTCCCTCTCACAACTGCTCTCACCACCAACACCACACACCCCCTTGCATTTGGATCTTATCGGTCACACCTGCCTTGTTCCACTCATACATGTTGGCTACCGAGCCTGCATGCAGTAGCTTGGGAACACTCAGCTTCTACGGGTTTGGTGTGGACATCACTGAAAGCTGGCCTGGCCCTCGGTGCCCAGAGCATATGCCTTCCTGCGGGGTCTCCAGCCTCCTCTGTGTAGACCATCCACACACAGCCGCAGAATCCTCCACAAATTACTCATCAGTGATATTTGGAAGCTGCTGTCTGATTAGCTGCCCAGGGCAGAGCAATGATTCTAGAAGAGTCAGCTGTGGTCTGTCCATCCATCTGGAGTGCAAAGCCACAGCAGACAGAGGTGGTCTGTGAATGCACACTTTATGCCCAAGTCACCCCTCTAGATTTTGTTTCATAGTCACAAGTCCCAGTTCTTGTTCCTGCCACGTCATTGAAGCCTGCACTCCATGAGGAGCCTGCCTGCGGCCCATCAGGGGGCAAACTCGCCCAGTACCAAGCGTGAGCACCCTCCCTCAGGAAAGGGTGCCACCTCCAAGATGCCTCAGTCAGATAGAAAAGCTGCAAAAAAGACATCAGGAGAAAGAAGAGGGTGATGAGGGTGGGTTGCACAAGGAAAGTGGGTCTGAAAGTCAGAGTCTTAGATCGTGACCACCATACTGGCTACTTCATAATGTTCAAAGAAGGAGAAGTCCTGCCTTGAGAGGTAAACCACACCCCAGTGAGCAGTCCATAAAGCACATTTAAGGAGACAATGTCCGACTCCTGTCTTCTGCTTTGTTACTGAAGCAAAGCCCCAGGTGGTCAGTTCCTTGGCATTTTGGTAGAGAGAGCAGACTAAAGGGGCTTACACAGGAAAGCCATGGCCAAGGAGCATTGTGCTGGACAGCTGGGGCTGGCGCTGGCGCTGGTTTGGTGGAGAAGCTGCAGGCGACAAGCAAAAAGCAGCCAGAACAAGTTCCCTTGGGGCCTAAGCTGAGAGCCTCCCTTGCTCAGTGGGAGGAGGAATGAGAAGCAGTTACAGGCTGCATCTGGACTTTGTTTCTGCCCTCTACATACTCGAGGGACAATAGGATATAGGAATGGTGTTCACAAGGGGGCGGAGGACACATCAGTGTTGGAGGCACCAGCAGTCAGTGTTCTGAAGCAAATCCCACATGTGAAGCCATGAATACAGAGGCCATCATGTTTCCCAGATCCAGTCTCTCTGGCACAGGTCCCATGCCAATAAGAGTTGGAATCCTGAACGGCTGCAAGCCCCAGCCTGCCGCACAGACACCAGGGAGGACCGCTGCACCTGGGCCCTCAGCCCAAGGCGAGCCTCCACCTGGGCCTCAGTAAGACACAGAACTACGTCCAGGCGCTGCCCCGGCTCACTCTGGAAGCAGGTCTCCAGCTGCTGCAGGCAGAATCCCTCTGGATTTGGAAAGAGGTGTCTCCAAACTGCCTCCACTAAAGCGTGCCTTCTCTCTCTTCCATTGTACTGACCACCTGCACAATACCTGAGATGCCAGCAGAGCAGAAACAGGTATTGTTCTGCTGGCCCACTTAATGCCCAGAGAAGGTAACACCCAGAGGGAAGAGGGATGGAGGAAGGCAGGAGTGTTAGGGAGCTGAGTTACATCCAGACACATCCAAGCAAAAGCGACCACCCTCCAAAGCCCACTGTTAGAGCCCTGTTTACAACTCCGCAGCAATCCCTCAGGATCACTAGGGCATCCACCAAGAGTCATGTCCAGCTAATCGTCCTTCTGCTAGGGTGGGAGAGGGACTCCATGGTGCCTCCTGCTAATACCAAGAGGACAAGAAGATGCCCACCCCCTCAAGGCTTCAGTTTCCCATCAAGAAAGCCCAAGAGCTCCCCATCACCCTTGTGTCATGGCTCTATTCTCTGAAGGCGACCAGGAGAGGCCCAGTGAGGAGGGAGGAGCTGTGTTCTGGGGTGGTCTGAGGAGGAGTGGGGGCAGCAAGCTATCCGGAAACATTGCCTAATGGGGAAGGTAAATGAGGCCAAGCTGGGGGTCTCCCTGGGGGAGAAGGCAAAGCCCACTCATGAGTCATTTGAAATTGAGCTGGACAAAGAACTCAAGGAGAAATGATCCCGCCCAGCCTGCCAGCTATGGACAAAATGACCTCATGGGCTGTGGTGTGAATGTGTGTGTGTAAGAAAGAGAGACAGAGCGAGGAACCCTGTGCTCACACAGCTGACCTTCTCCATAGCCTTTCACTGTGTGGCCAGGCTGCCCCCTGTGGGTCAGTGAGGGAAAGGACAGCACTCATATAGTATCAGGTGGCAGATAGGTTGTAATTACTCTTGATGGTGAATCTAATGTCTTCTCACACTACCATCTCTGTGAAGGAAGCTTGGGTATATAACAAGCATTTAAAAATCATTTTACCATTTTTAAAACTTTTTGAGAGAAACCTAGATTTGTAAGCATATGTAAGAAAGAACAGAGAGGTCCCACATGTCCTTCACTCAGTTTCCCCCAGTGATAGGAATCTTGCCAAATTCTAGTGCAGCACAACCCAGATATTGACATTGACACAGTCCACTGACTTTATTCAGATCCTACTTGTCTTACCTGTACTTATTTCTAGGGCTCAATTTTATTCCTTTCCATGTGAATATTCCATTTTCCTATCATTTGGTAAAGAGATTGTTCTTTCCCATTTAATGATTCTAACACCCTTGTTGGAAATCAGTGTAAAGACATGTACCTTCAGTCTATCTCATTTGTCTGCATGTCCACCCTTATCCAGTGGATTTGGAAAAAGAAGAGCAGTCTCCTCCCCTTAAGATTTACTGGAGGATTATATGGGCAAAATACTACATCATGAAGGAAGCATCAAAAGAAGATGGAAGGAATACAACAAATCACTGAACCAGAAAGAAGTTGTCAGTGTTCAATCGTTTTGGGAGATAGCAGATGATCAAGAACCAACAGTTGGGAAGGAAGAAGTCCATGTTGCACTGAAAGCATTGATGGAAGACAGAACTCCAGAAATTGGTGGAATACCATCTGAGATGTTTCAACAAAGAGATGAAATTCTCCAAGTGCTCACTCATTTATGCCAAAAAATTCTGGAAGGCAGTTACCTGACGTAACTGACTTAAAAAGTTTCACATTTTTACCCATCCCAAAGAAAGGCAATTCAACAATATGCAGGCATTGTTAAACTATATCATTAATAACACATACAAGTGAAATTTTGTTGAAGATAGTTAAAAGGGGGTTACAATAATACATCAAGAATGAAATGCCAGAAATTCAAGCCAGATGCAGAAGAGAATGTGAAATGAAAGCTATAATTGCTATTGTAAGATCTTGACTGAAAGGAGAATACTAGAAAGATGTTTACTTATGGTTTATTGACAATATAAAGACATTCAACTGCATGGATTATAAAAAATATGGATAATATTTAGTAGAGGGGGAATTTCTAAACCTTTAGTTGTGTTCATGAGGAATCTGTGCACAGTCTAAGAGACAATCATTTAAACAAAACAAGGAGATGTTACAGAGTTTAAAATCAGGAAAGGTATGTTTCAGTATTGTGTCTTTCTCTACAATGACTCAATCTATGTTGTTGTTGTTGTTGTTGTTGTTATGTGCCGTTGAGTCGTTTGCTACTCATAGAGGCCCTATGTACAACAGCCCTAAACCTTGCTCTATCGGGTGCCAATTGCATTGCCTCCGACACACCCATCCCGATTACCCCTGTCACTGAATCAATCCACCTTATAGAGGGTCTTCCCCTCCTGCGCTGTCCCTCTACCCTACCAAGCATTATGTCAATCTATGTACTGAGTAAATAATCTGAGGAATTATCAATGTGAAGAAGAATGCAGCACTAGCATAGGTAGAAGACTCTTTGCAACCTATGATATGAAAATTACACAACTTTGCTTGCTGAAAACACAGAGGACTTAAAGAGAGCACTTACTTTCGAAGATCAAATACTACAATCTTCAGGATGGATTACACTTCAGCACAAAGAAAACAAAAATCCTCCCAACAGGACCAATAAGCAGCATCGTGATGAATAGAGAAAAGATAGATTGTCAAGGATTTCATTATTTGGATCCACAGTCAGTACCCATGGGAGTATTATTCAAGAAAGCAAATTTATTACATTAGACAAATATGCTGTAAAAGTTCTCCATAAAGTATTTAAAAAGAAAGATGTCACTTTGAGGATTAATATGCTCTTAACCCAAGCCTTGGTATTTTCAGTCACCTCATATTTATGTGAAATCCAAACAATAAATAAGGAACATTGTAGGGGAAAAATGATGACTTTGAATAATAGCATGTTTGGCAAAGAATGTTGACTATACCATAGACTTAAAAAAAAAACCCAAATCAAATCTGTCTTGGAAGAAGTTTAACAAGAATGATCATTAGAAGGGACGGTGGTGAGATTTGATCTTAAGTCCTTTGGACATGTTATCAGGAGGGACTTGAGAAGGACATCATGCTTTGGTATAGAAAACTCTCAAACTCACTGCCATTGAGGAGGAACTGACTCATAGCTGATGCTCTGGTGTGCTTTCACAGGCTGTATATCACACGGAAGAAGACTGCCTATCTTTTCTCTTCAGATCAGCTACTGGATTAAAACTACCTGTCTTTGACTTGGTAGTATAACTTTTTAGCCAGTAGGTCAGCAAGAGCTCCCTGATAAAGTACAGAATCACTGTAAACAAGGAAGCATCTCAAAAAGGTGACTGAACAATGAGTTCAAGGACAGTAAGATCGGTGAGCAAAGCACAGAGCTGGGCAGTATTTCCTTCTGTGTATGTAGGTTCAACGTGAGTCAGAGTTAACAGAACTTAACAACATTCATGAAAGTGGCGTGATCCCTACAACAAGAGAAGATAAAATAGATGAATGGGACCTTCTAAGAATCAAGTCCCTATGCACTTCCAAAAACTTCTCCAACAGGGTAAAAAGGGAAGCCACAGACTGGGAAAAAGTATTTGGTAATGACATATCAAATAAGGGACTTATATCCAGAATTTATAAAATACTTGAGCACCACAACAAGATAAAGGTAAACAATCCAATTGAAAAATGGATATGAACAGACACTTCGCTGAAGAAGACATTCAGATGGCTGACAAGTACATGAAGAAATGTTCAAAATCCCTAGCTCTACGAGAGATGCAAATCAAAACAACTATGAGATATCATCGCACCCCAGTAAGAATAGCAAAATTTAACAGAGCAGCACGCAACAAATGCTGACAAGGTTGTGGAGAAACTGAAACCCTTATTCACTGTTGGTGGAAGTGTAAAATGGTGCAACCACTGTGGAAGGCAGTATGATGCTTTCTCAAAAAGTTGCAAATAGAGATACCACTTGACCCAGCAAGTCCATACTGGGAATATACCCAGAAGAGACCATAACTGACACCCAAGCAGATATATGCACACCCATGTTTATTGTGGCTCTGTTCACAATAGCGAGGAGTTGGAAACAACCCAGGTGCCCATCAACAAACGAATGGATAGAGAAGCTGTGGTATATTCACACAATACTACACTGCATTGAAAAACAAGGAATTCACGCAATATTATTCAAAATGGTTAACCCTGGAGGATATTATGCTGAGTGAAATATCTCAGTCACAAAAGGACAAATACTACATGGTGTCACTGTTGTAAAACAGGACTGACCTTGGGTTTGGAGGGAGACTGAGAAAGATGGGTTCAATAATGTATAGTGCATTGAAACTGATGAGGGAGAAAATGTTTAAAAGGGATATGTGATTAGGTATTTTTGTCATGTCAGGAGTCCAGAGTGAAGGCTGTATAGTGGACTGGACCTGGGGGGAGGAATTGTAAAACAATGGAAGAATTTTTCTTTTCCTTTTCCAAGAGGGTAGTGTACTAGGGGGGAGGGTTGGGAGGGGAGAAAAGTGCAACAATGAATGAATGGAAATCCAAAGTCTCTGTAAATTTTCATTGAAATTAATAATAATTTTTTTACCAAAAAAAAAAAAGAAAGTTGTATGATCATTACTACTATCTGGTTCCAGATCTTCGATATCATCCCAAATAAAAAGTTTATGTCCATTAAACAGTAACTTGCCATTAACAATTTTTCCCTGTTGTAGATCTGTTTGTGTCTCAAAAAAAAAGTTGTTGTTAGGTGTTGTTGAACTGTCCACGACTCTCAGTGGCCATGTGAACAGCAGATTTGAACTCTGTCCTATCCTGTACCATCCTAGCCATCTCAAACCATTGTTCTAGTCACTGTTCCTATTCCTCTTGTGGAAGGCTTTCTTTCCTTCTTTGACCCTCCACCTTTCCCAGCATGAGAGTTTTTTCGCAAGGACCGGCAGGCCCCTCCTTATAATAAGCCCAAAGTACAAGAAGTTTCACCATCTTTGCCTCTAAGGAGCACTG